TTTCAACTATTATAAAGTATTTCAATTATTATAATATATAATTTTTATAGTTTTAAAATATTAATTTATTAATAATAATATTTCAAGTCAACTCGAGTCAAGTCAAGTTTGAGTTAAGTTTAAATTGAGTTGAATTAAATATTTAACTTGACTCAAATTTGATTTGACTCGCAAATTATCGAGTTAAAAAATATAAACTCAATTTGATTTAAACTCAACTCAGCTTATCTGACTCGTGAGTTAACTCAACTCGTCTGAAACTCTAATCAAAATTGATTGACATATTGTATTAGAAAATTAGACTGATTTATTTAATTTGTAGGATTTACAAAATTTATCTAATTTACCTGATTTATTTGATTAGCTTATTTAATTAAATTTTTTACATATTTATTTTTTCTTTTTATTATTTCTTTTATTTTTATCATTATTATAATTTATTTTTTATTTTATATCTTTATTTTATTTTCTTTTATTATTATTTTATAGCTAAATTTTACTAAAATAGCTAATTTATAATGTAACAAATAATTAGCTATAGCAAATTCATTTTATATAAATAGAATAGCTTTTTGCTTAAATTGTAAATTAACTCATCTTTAAATTTCTTACAAGTTTTAGAATTATAAATAAAGAAATTAATTTAAATTTACACAAATTTATTTTTCTTTAACGTTGTTCTTCATCTAAAATTTATTATAATATCTTAACTAATTTGCTATTGAATTCATTATTATAAGTTTGACTAATATATCTTAAATTCTAAAATATAATAAATTGCCAAGTTAATTTAAGTATAATAGATAAATATGAGACTTAGAGAAAATCCTAAGATCAAAAACTCTAATGTGTAGAATCAATTATTATAGTCTTTTAACTTAAATATTAAGATAAATGAAAATGAATTTGATGATAACATATATAATTAGTAATCACCTATAATGATTATTTATTATATTAAATATTATTATTTTTATATAAAATATTTATTATATATATATTTATTAATTATTTTTTATTTTATTTATTATTAAAAATAATATTATTAATTAAATAAATAATTATTAATTATAAAAAAATAATATAATATTTAAAATTATAATAATAAAATAATTTAAATATAAAATTAAAATAAATATTTTATAATCCAAAATAATATAAATATATAAATAGTAGTTATTAAATAAGAAAGAAATTTAAATTGATAAATTTTTTTTTTATTGATCTATTTAGTTATTTATAATTATGTGTTTAAAATTAGCTTAAAAATTAAAATTAATAAAAACTTTAGATTTTACTAATGCTTTTCTGTATATATAATTTTAATATAAAAATTTTATATATAAAATTAATTAATAATATATAATAAATTATAATTAAATAATATTTATATATAATCTTTAAAGATTTTTTAATTAATAATAACTATTATTATTTATGGTATTAATTATTATAAAAAATTTTCCTATAATTGGTTATTATAAATAAATATTATTATATATTTTAAAATATTTTTTAGAAAATAGTATTAATTTAGTAAATAAAATTTATTTATTATTTAATTTTTTTGAAATACTAACCAATCACTTATAAAAAAATTATAAAAAAATTTTAATTTAATAAATTTGTTATTATTATAATAATAAAATTTAAAAATTTTAATATTATTATAAAATTTATTTTAAAATTTCTAAAAATTAAAAAAATAAGTTACAAATTTACCAAATAGAAGAAGTTTTCTATAATAATAAATATATTATAAATATTATAAATTATATAAATAAAAGTAAAAATGATAATAAGTAAAAATTAATAATTATATATTTTTTTTGAATTCTAATATTTTTAAATGTATTAAATTATATAATTATATAAAGTATTTTTTATACTTTTGAATAAAGTTAACCTTTTTAAATACATTTTTTATAAATACATATTTTTTTTATATATGCATATTTTAATAAAGAGATAAAATACTAGATAATTTAAAAGTAAATAATGATAATGTTAATTAAATAAATATTCTTTATAATAAAGTTTTAACTAAATTTTATAGATACTAAATTTTTTAAGTATTGAATCATTTAAAAATAAGTTCTATAAAAAAGAATTTTAATGTTAAGATTGTATAATTACATTTATCATTACTGATTTTAATTAGATTAGTAATGCTAAAAAATTGTTTACTACTATCAAATTGAAAAACTTGTTAAATATTACATTTTTTTCATGTATATCCAGCCTTGAGAGGATTAATATTTATAAATGTTAGATAAAATATTAATTTTATAATTTTTTTTTTTTTTTATTACATTTTAATTTTTAATTTTTAAAGTATATAAAAACATAAACTCTGATTATTATTTAAGAATTTTTTTTATTTAAATAAATGAAATTAAATAATTTATTTATTAAAATCTAGAATTATTATTTTATTGTTTTTATAAACTAGTAATATGTTTATTCATCAGAATAATTTTGCTAATATTAATATTTAAGAAGATAAATAGAAAGTTAGCTATCTATAATATTTATACAATCTTTTCAACCGTTCTTAAAGGTAACCGGATTCCACCTACTTAGTGAACAAAGAATTTCCAACCTTACGTATATCTCTGTGGATTTTCAATTTGATGATTATTAATATTTATTTTAACATTAATGTTAAAGGAATTATTTTTGATAATGCGGTGAATTATGAAAATAGTAGACAATTCCTTTTCCTAATAACTACGAATTTATTATCCTTTTAATAGATAATATAATTTGTCTTTAGCCTCATCATCACCATTTTCAGCGGCTTTGCAATACCAATTTATAGCTTGTTTTACGTCCACTTCGACTTCTACACCAAATTCGTAAAATACACCTAAATAATATTGACCATCACTGTTTTCTTGTTCAGCAGATTGTTTATAATATTCTAAAGCCTTTTTTAAATCTTTTTCAACCCCGCATCCGACTTGATAACAATAACCAAGTTCGCTTAAACCTAGAAGTTTTCCAGTTTTGATTGATTTTTTATATAAATTGAAAGCCTTTTTCTTATCTATTCCAGTTCCAATACCGAAATCAAAGCAATTCGCAAGTCCGCATAATCCACATACACAAAGTTCAGTTTCTGAAGCCTTTTGATACCATTTGAATCCCAACACTTCATCTATTGCGGTTCCTTTTCCCAATATGTAGCAATTTCCCAACAAAGTTTGGGAATACGCAATTCCCATTTTTGCTCCTGATATATAAGAATTAAATGCCTTCCTTTCATTTTCTTCTGTTCCAATTCCTGCTTCATAAAAAAATCCAAGTAAGGTCTTATACTTTACATCATTTTCATTATTCAATAGCCATTTAAATATTTTTTCTTCATTTTGGTCGTTATTCATAAGATGTTGTTTAATTAATATTATAATTTGATTAATAGGATAATTATCTAACGCTTCGTAAAATATAAGTAATAAATCATCTACATATTTCATCGTTGCATTTTTAAGATGTTCTCTGGAAGGCGAAGAAGGTCTTGCATAAATCAACGGAACATTTAAATTTGTTGGTGAAGAAGATCTTGAAGGTGACTTTGATACATTGAGTTTTGATGGAGATAAAGGTCTCGACGGTGAGTTATTTGATAGAGTATTCAGATATAAATTTGAAGCCTTTTTTCTTATTGGGGTTGCAAGTTGTATTTTAAAATCTGGTGGTGATGTCGATGTCTCAATTATTACTTGATTAAAATCGTTCATATTTATTTGAATAGGTGGCGTTGAAATGGTATTTGAAGAAGTCATAATTTTTGTTATTAATTTGAAAGAAGAATAATTAAAAAATAAACATGTTCTAGCAATGCATAAGTTAATTATTATGTACGGATGTGCATATATTTATAGAGGTACAAAAAATGCAGGGTATGTATTATTTACGGATTGTCATATTTTAGGAGTTTTATCAAAGTACGAAAGAAAATATCATTTTTATTTGAGGCAAGTATATTTATTGCATTAATACATCACGCCTTGAATCGAAGTAGGATAACATTAAATCCTATTTATTAATATAATACAATTTTATTCATATTAAAGGTAGAGAAAAAAACAAAAACAAGCTTGATAATACTTTTTATTGTATATCTCAAAGAGCTCGTCACTAATACCTTAATACTTTTCTTCAATGAATTCTTCTATCCATTTAAAGATCTTATCCTTATAACTCGTATAAAGAAAATCAGGATTGGTTAAATTTTAATGATAATTAATTTCGGTTAATTTGAAATGGCCAATCAACGAGAAAAATTTAGATTAAAACCTAAAACTGTCATTATTTTTCAAAACTCTATACTAATTTTATACATTTATAAATTATCAAAATGTTGATAATTTATTAATTATATAAAATAAATAAACAATATAATTATTTTAAAAAATAGAGTTTTGTAATAAAAAGAAAGAAAACTCTAAAATAAAAAAAAAATTTTGAGTTAATATTTAGGATATAAAGTAAAATTTGTTTTTTCATTGCAAAGTATATATGTATTTATTAATAAAAATATTTTATATATTATATTTTATATATTTTTCTTAATAAAATCTTTTTTCATATTAAATTTATTTTATATAAATTTAATTAATTAAAAAAATTATATTTATAAAATTATAAATTGAATTAAGTTTAAAAATTAGAATAATATAAAAATTTAAAAGAAAACTTATTATATAAAAATAATTGAGCCTCTATTATTTAAAAATAAATAATAAAATTTTAATTAATACAATCAACTCTCTATAAATGCATTCCTTATGGAATTAAATATAAAAATATATTTAAAGAAGGTGTACATTTATAGAATACATATAAATCTATATAATATTAATCTAAAATTAAGGTAATACAAAAATTTATAAGTAAATAATATAAAATCTTTTATAAAGAATACATTTACAGAAAGTATATATAAAAAATGTGTATTTAATACTAAGGCCTAAATTGAAATCAAATAAAAAGGCATATTTATAAAGGATTTGCATTTATAAAGAATGTATTTATAGAAAGTTGACTATATAATATAAAAAAAAATTATAATAATTATTAATTAAAAATGTTATATCAAAACAATTCAAAAAATTAAATATAATTCTTATTATATTATTCTTTAGATAATAAAGATTTACAAGTAAAATTGCCTACTTATTGACTATAAATTTACTTTTAATTTACTTTTATAGAAATTTTTTTTAAATTAATTTTATAAATTTATAATACAATCAAAGTGTTTTATAACAAATTTCTGTATTTGAATTTTATGTTACTATAAATTATATAGATAGTATCATTAAATAAAATAGTTGTATATAATGAATTTTTTTAATAAGATTTACTATTATATATAATGATCAACAATATAATATAAAATATAATAAAATAATATTTAATTAAATGAAATTTTTGATATAATGAATTTTTTGTCAAAATTTTAAGGTTTATAACAAATTTTTTTTTAGTAGCAAATGTAACTATTAAAGAAAATTTATATTAAAAAAAATAAAATGATATTTTAAATATTCAAACTGAATATGATTTTGATATTATAATTTTTTTTTGATAAATTTTTTATTCAAAATGCCAAAAAATAAAAAAATTAAAATTGATAAAGGAAAGGATTCCGAAATAAAAAAAATTAGAGCTTCTCTTATTAGAATTCAAAAAAAAAATTATTTAAAGAGTTTACAAAAGCTAAAATTTAAGAATAAGAAGCTTGCTCAAAAATATAATATTTTAAAAGGAATTATATGTAATATTTTAAAAGAAAAAAGTAATAATTAGAATTAAAATTGAATTATTATAAAGTTTTGATTAAAAGATAAATTAAAGTAAAATTTTCACAAATTGAAGAAACTTTAAATTTTAAGATTAAAAAGATAATAAAAAATAACATTATTATTAATAGTAAACTATTAATACAAAAAGCAAATAATTTTGTAATATTATTAAATGAATCAGATTTTAAAGGATTAGAAGGATAGATAGTAGATTTAAAAAATGCCATAAATTTGAATGTTATTTTAAACATAGAAAATCAGCAAGTACTTCTATAAAAGTTTTAAATAATATGCGTAAAAATCTTCAAAATTTTCTTGCAGATTATTTACTAAATGATATTTTTAATATAAATAAAACTAAACTTTACTGAAAAATAGAACCAAATTGTATATTATCAATTGGATTAGATAAAGATATTTAATTAATACTTAATATAAATAATTACAAATAAAATTAATAAATTAAATAATATTTACCTTAGTAGTAGAACAAAAATAATCTAATAAATATGTTACTATTATATTATGATACAATCTTTAAGAATTAAGAAACTTAAAGCAGTTTTTATTAAAAAAGTAAAAATCCATATATCTTAAAAAATATTGTAAAATCATCTCTTCTAATATATTATTATTAAAACAAAACAGCTTATATGGGACATGCTGCAACAAAACCAGACAAAGTGAACATTTGATTATATGATATAAATGAGAGGATGATTATGGTTGTAAAATTGACCAGGGTGACTGATGACGTTTTGAAAAGTAATAACACTGCTTATTCATAACTTATGGACTTGTTAATTTTAATGTTCACTTTATCATACCAGAATGTGATGAATATAAACCATAATGTGATTAATATAGGACTACCCCTATATAAAAAATATAATATGAAACTAATTTATATTAAATCCACTATGGAACTAAAGAATTACAGCACCATTAGAAGCATTCTAAAAAAAGCTTAAGGAGAAAAAATTGCGCCTTATATTTTTAAAATGAATGACACCAAAATTCTCAAATATCTTAATAAAGAAAAAATTACTTACGAAATCTCTCAAGAAGAACGAAAGATAATAAACAATAAACGAAAATTAACCTCAACTTATGATGAACCAAGAAAAAAAACGAAAATTTAAAGAAAGGTAAAGAAAAGCATTTTAGCATAAAAGGCCTCCGCTGATCGAACGATCTATCAACGAAAGATTGTTCTTTATAGTCTTGATAAAAGACTGCTTAAGCGCATCCATTGAGCTTTGACACAATTGTAATAAAGAGTCAAACATGTAAAAATAATTCAATTTTTTCGTAAGCATAAATTTTATTGTTTATGTTATTGAACGCGCGCTCTTGAAATATAAATATTATTAAAAGCACCAGAGTGATTGCATAGGAGGAAAATACTCGGGCTAAAAGCCATTTATGAGTATAACCTATTCTTTGGTCACTCCGATGCAAATTTTAAATTTCATTATCTTTTATACTATTACTGTTATTAATAATATTATCACTATTGTCTATTTCTTCATCTGAGTAGTTTACGTTTTCCTTCTATTTTTCATCGATCCAACGTTGGATTGCTTCAATCGTCTTTTTCCGCAGAGTTGTTCGTCAAAGGTAAAAATCTCATCGTTGATGCAGCAATGGTCTTTTGTTTATTCAGCAATTTGGAAATTTCAAACGCCATTTCGTTAAACAAAAATTTTGAATCTAATTTGATTTGTTTATAGTATAATTGTCTCAAAGCGTTCTACAACGTTTTGATATCTGGCGAATAAATTTTGTTCGCCGACAGTTTCATTTTTGACAACTTCCTGGACTTTATGATCTTGGTTAATAGTCCCATGTTGTGGAGTTGGTTATTATAAATTATGCCATTGAGCAACAGGCCGAGAACGAAGCCAATAAATACTCCAAAAAAGAATTCGCTCGGGAAATTAAGCATTTTTCATAGGAGTGTTATTGGGGAGTTGACAGATTTGTTTTATTGTTTTAAAGATGTATTGTCTCAACAATATTTATTGCGTTGTGGTTGATTTTTGAATAAGTTATATCCGTTTGTTCATCATACACTACGGACGATTATTAGACAAACGTGAATTTCTGCGCATTGATTATCATTGGTCACCTTTTGCTTAGGGGAACAATAGTTACACTGTGAAAACATCTAGAAAGTTCCTAGCAATACGTCATTGATTAAGCCACTGATCAGCGTATTAGATCACATCGCGCAGCATATCTCACTTCACCAAACAGACATGGACACCGCTCAGTTGAAACAGGAATTTGATAAGGCTAGCGTGAAGTTGGATAGGTTAGAAGTTTTAAGACGTGGAGGGGAGGAAGAGTACCAAGGGGAAAAGAACGTCTTGGTGCAACAAGAGACTTTTTGGCTGGAAGAAAAGAAGAAGTGGGAGATGCTTTAGTTGCCGTTAGTACTCAAACAGGTAACGACTTTGTGACTCGGGCGTTGGGGACATTGAGTAGTGTGTGCATAGTGTAGGGTGTATCAATACCGAATACTTACTCTTGTGCTTTTCTTTCCTGTCAAAAACACTTTTCGCGCTATCATAGATGCAACTGGTAAGTACCACGACTGCATCCAAACCTACACTACTTTTCTCACTGTCATTTCTTTTTCCATTACTAACATCTTTTATCTTCACTTCGACGCTTTCCGCCTATGCTAGTCGCCCAGACTTCTTCCCTCGCTGAAATCAACGCCAAGATGGATAAACAGCATGAATTTATGGATAAACAGCTGGAATCTATGTCAAAGATATATCAATGTATAACGGAAGAAAAAAAACGGTTGCATATTCGACTATTAATAAAGAGAACTTCGATAGCTTTCTTAAGCACATTAATTTTAACCTAAGTGCTGTGGAATTTACCGGACCATTGCCAAAGAATGATATAGAACCCTACGAATGGAATGATTACACTGTAAGTGACCCAAACAAATTGGAATTGATATCTCAATACTTAAACCAACATCTAAAACCAAACCTTCCAAAAGATTATGTTGTCTTTAACGTTGCAAACCACAAAAGTTTTCTCGACATTACTACCGAAAATTCTCCTTTTCCATTCAAGATCAAAGGCGGAACTGACTATGTGGTGATGGAGCAGAAGTATATTGATAACTTAATTGCTAAAGCTGGAACTCGGGTTACTATAGAGTTAAAGAAAGTGCCGCAGGAGCAAAACATATGGCAAGCTATTGCAGAAATGGTCGCAGCCGACTTTTTGACGAACGAAGAGATTAAGGTTATCGGTGTATTAACAGACCTGAACGAACGCTGGCACCTTTTTTGGTTAGAAGAGGGGAGAAAAATCATGATGGTCAAATTATCGCATCGTAAAAAGGCGTTGGATATTATTAGTAGGATGGTTAAGATGATGCGTGTGCCGGGTTTGCCCGGAGGGCAACGTATAAAGATTTATGATAATGCTTATACGCAAGTTGATGATATTGCACCATTAGAGGTAAATTAATTTAGATTATTAATGCTTATTAAAGAGATTATAATTTATGATTACATATTAATTTAGGATTTTTATGAGGAGATGAGTGAGGAAGATATACTAAGACATAAAGCGAGAAAGACTATTGATTTAATTAGAAATAATCCATTATTTTCAGATGTATTTTCTAATTCTGTAGTCAAATAATTTTTTATTAAAACACTCTTAATAAATAATTTTTCACGTGTTTAAACTTGTGTTGATAATTTTGCCTTTCAGCTGATATTCGGAATATAACGATTTCGTTATGAATTTCTGCTGAAATATTCATGACGTTATGAGGATAATTAAAGATAAGCGTATGTGAACCTTTGATCTTATTGTTATCATTACCGCAATTACTTTTGATAACTTTTTACTTAGTATCTCTTTACAAATTCCATAATTCGAAAAATTACGCCGAAATCATCTTACGTATTCGCAAAAAATTCAGAATTCAATCCTTAGGCTGTGGATCGTTGAAATTAATCCATGTGCACGTTACAATTTGTAACGCCTATCATCAAAAAAATGAAAACCGGAGGGCATTTATTCTCAAATTTCCAGCATGTAGGAGTGCATGAACGTGCTTGTTATTTGAATATGTTAATCGGATTTACAGTCCCCGGCGAAAAGAATGGCGGTGGAAGACCGCATCTATTTTAGGCTGCGGTTTCACCACTTTCCGGATTT